AGTTACGTTATCAAGCAATGGCATCGGGATACCAACTTTTAGTGCTGCTTCTCCGATGATTTTCACAGATTCTGCCATAATTTTCTCCAAAAATTCTAGGAACCTGAAATCCAGATCAAAGAGATGCGAATGAAGTGCACAGAAATATTAAAATAAGAAAACTGATGAGAGCTTACTTGGGACTAAAATGCCCAATTGTAGAATCATGTTCGCGCACCAAAACAGTCACATTAGTGATGTCGCCAACAAGTCTTCTATGAAGGATTGCCGGCGTAACGTACACAGTCGAACCCATTACTGCAACGTTGGAGTCAAAGTCTGAGCAGCAATAAAAATCTAGCAGCTGAATTTGAAATGTCTAAGATGCACGTGGATGGAGAAAATCCCCTCAAAATTTCGACTCCCGGACTTTCCTGGTTCCCAAATTAGCAATTTTTCTGCCAAAACTTTTATATGCTCGTATGTGAAGCTCAGATGTGTGTGAAGATTAATGCCGCGTTCCTGGAGTAACGCTTTGCCAAGAAACCTGTTGGTAAAATTTCGGCATCGAAGCTTGCTTGGTATACACGCACACAGTCGCACATGTATGCACAGACACACATACACGCACAATGTACGTCATTCTGCATTTGCATGCACGTAAAAACGCATAATCAACGCTTTCAAGGTGGGCTAAAAAATTTAGCACGCTCGGACTGAGGTTCAGCCTTTGCTATTCCCACTGCATTTCATGGTTCAAGTTCTGACGCTTCATCAAGCTAACCCTTAACTTGCCGATGGTTCTTCTTTGCAGCGCGCACGAGAAGCCGAAAACAGTAGCCTGTTAGTTTTGGTTCCATCTTCTTCAATTCAGTGAGAGCTAACGGATCAACTGTAGTCATTGGCGGATCCAGGGGAGAGGTGGGAGGGCCCCCGCTTCCCCTGCCCTCTGTCAACGGCACAGGTGCTATGCTAAAACTGGCGAAACCTCTCTCCCGCACCCCCGGTTACCCTTCCCTCGGGAGTTCGAACTGAGGCTCAGCCTTTACGAGCTGGCCGAAAGACTGAGCTGAAAGTTCGGTGCCTTACCAACTGCTTAGCTGCAACTCATTTGATTACGGTAAGAAAAAGTAGCCGGATCGTCCACTGTGCACGGGTAATTCATCAACGTAAAAAAAAAAAACTCCACCAAGTCGAGCCAGCCTGCCTGTTTGCTGCTTCCATGGCGACAAATAAAGATCAATCGTGGAATCTGCATAAATCTGAATGCCTTTTTCATCGATAGAAACATACGGAGCTTGTGCTGATTGAATGAAGAGATCAATGGTCCGATTAGGATACTTTAGACTCAAATCAGGGAAAAATTTGCCAATGCAGATTGTAAACAGTGCGCAGCTAAAACCAATACACTGTAATGAATGTGAGAATAAACTGCAAACGTACAACTTAAACAGGCTCTAAAAAGATCCAAAGCAAATACAAATGTGCGAAATGAAAGCAGAAAATAATGCAAAAGATTAAGGCACGAAAAAAATAAGAAATAGAAAAGTCAATTAATACAGACGTATGGAGAAAATAATACACAAAATAATACGAAACAGAAAAGTCTATTAAGGCGAAATAGGCAATCGGAAGCCCATTGCCCGATAAAAAAACCTAGGCTGGAACGCACCAGGCTCTCCGGTGCGATCATGCGTTTTTGCACTAAATTCGCAGATCGCTATTAACAGGAATGATCCCCACGCCGTAGCCTAGCACTTGGGCTCATATTGGCCATGCTTCGGCGCCTTCCGGCATGCAGGAGGAAGGGCGCCAGTTAAGATGAAGATGGTGCATTATAGAGCCGCATGGACATCCAGGTGCATGACTACCGATTTTTTGCATGAAGTCCGGTCGTTTTTTCGGTAAATGATCGCTTTATGAAAAAATGACAAGTGCAAATTTTTTGAAAAAATGCAAATTTCCAGTTAACTAAAAGTGGAATTATTGCTCGAGCGGTTGTTTGTCAAAAAATGTACGTTCATTTACATACACGATTGCGGTTAAGGTCCGAGCTGCGAACGAATTTTCTGAAATATGCAAATCTTCAGTTCATTGAAAAATTGAAAGTATTGCTCGAATGGCCGTTTTTCAAAGAATCCATGCTCATTCGCATATACAACTGCGGTTCAAGTCCGAGTTGCTAACGATTTTTGGGTTCAGGAGCTGCTTTAGGCTGTTGTTGGGGAGCTAGAGAGCTGAGTTTAAAATGTTTATCTCGCACGTGCAAAGAAAATATCCCTGCAAAGTTTCAACTTCCTACGTTCGCGAAATCGTTTCCCGCCAACAAATTTCTTTGG